ATGCCTCGACGGAGCCAAGCATATGTGTAAAGGTAGCACTGGCCGCTCGGCGTATACATGCAGTTTCCTCAGATTCAATTTGCCAAGGTCGGTCGTAAAAGATATCCTCCATGTGTAGACACTCTCTCAGTTGGGAACTGTCATAGTTCAGAGCTGTTGTGAGGAATGATGCTACAATTTCGAGCCAGAGGTCCTCCTCGAACATGAAGTACATTGCAGAGTGTCTCGGAGTGCCGTTTTCAACAGAAAGAAACTCGCGCACGGTGTAGTGGGCGAAGCTGACAATTGGCCTGTCGCCGATTTTATCTTGGACATCTCCGCGCATTTCGAAGCCTTGGCCCGTCGTAATGTTGATTAGACACCCGCAGATTTCCCTCAAGTCTTCTTGGGTAAGCCTGAACTCGCTATCCCGTTCATATTCGAGGGCACCTTTTCTCGAGTTGAGGACTTGAAGAAGAATCGCCACAGGCATGCTCCTGTCGTGGCGTAGCGCGTGAGCATCAATCCACCCAAGACACAACCGCACAATATCTCGCTCCTCTTCAGGTATTTCGGCGAATATTCTCTGGTAAGTTTCGTCCAAGGTTCTCGGTATCGTTACGAGTGCCTTTCTGACCGCAGTGGCACCCCCCTTCAACTTTCGAAGGCGATCCAACTGGCAGATTACCCAGCGGAACATGCCTTTAGCTCGAGCAGCCAAAGTAGCTTCAACCTCGTCCAGTAGTTCTTTGGACCATCGTCTGAAACTTGGTCCATTCTGCAGTACAGACCTCACACATAGTGCGATATCCTGCGTGATGAAAGGGTTCGACATAGAGACGGGTCTTGATATATCCTCGAGCACCGTCTCAATATCGATGTATTCGCGGCTTGTGGCCACAACCTGTATTTTGTCGAATCGAGCATCTGTGACGAGGTCACGCACGACCTTGAGCAAATCGTCTCGGGGCTTGGTTTCGTCAAGAGCATCCACCACTATGTAAATGGAGGTGAATGGCTCTGTGATTTCAGCCAGGGCAGTGAGCAGCTCTGGAAGGCTTCGTTCACGGTCCTGGTTGAAGACCTTATAAGCCGAATTCGGGATCGAACTGGCCTCGCGACATAATTCCGTCGTGATCCAACGTAGGAAAGGGGCCGCTTCATTCTGGTTGTTGGCAAAGTAGCAGTAGTAATAGAGAGCGACTGATTCGGTCTGGGACTCGCAGGAGGCTTCGAGTTGGCGAACAAGGGAGGAGGCGAGGATGGTCTTGCCAGCACCGGGAATGCCATGGATCCAAAGACAGCGGTACTTTTTGTCGAGCCAGTCGTGCCACTCGGGTAACCGCCGAATCCATTCCTTCTTCAAACTGGGCTTGAGCCCGGTTATGTAGGGGAGATGGATTCGTTTGCTGGTACCACTGGCAGAATTCCCGTCTTTCCGCATCTAAGAATGTCATGTTAGGGTGGTTAAAGATCAGCCAGACACATGCCGCATTCACATACCTGACAAGGCTTTAAGGACCTGGTTTCTCTTTGTTTTAATTTCTTTGATGTCCTGGCTGCAGTTGAGGTCAGTTACACGCTCCGCTGATATCCCGTGGGTCCAACAGACTTACACCGACTCCGTAATCAATGCCAGACTGATGGCGACTTTGTGCCGCTGGAGTTCGTCAAGGAGCTTTAAGGCAGTAGTCCTTCTGGCCGCCCATCCCAACTTGGCTATCATGAGTTTCATCTTGTCCTTTGGCGATGCAAAATGCTGTGCAACATCGACGACCTTGGCGGGAATGAGGTTGGAAATCTCGTCCAGAATTCGTCGACAATGGCCAAGAGGACCTTTTGAGGCTGATAGTCCGGCAAGTGTTTGAGACAACCCATCGCTGCAATCTGTCAGGAACTGGATGTTCTCTAGCACCGACTTTAACATTGAGGTCTCAATCAGGATGGAGCGCAGATCTGACTCGGCATCGCGGACTCCTTCGATCCAATACTTGGAGAGCTCAATCACTCTGTCGGCCAGCTGTATTATGGCTATTAGAGTACCGGCCTCGGCCATTTTGCGTCGGTGGCTTGCCGAGTCGTCTGAAGGCAGTGCTTGTGTCTGGGTATGAGAAGGTCGAAATTCAATTCGGGGAAAAAAGTGTGAGGGGTTGGAAACCCGATCGATCGGAATGGTCTTGGCCCGCATATTGGGCCTGGCAAGTGCGAGGAAGCTACAGCTTGTGGTGGTGGGTTGCCTAGCTGGTCTGCCCGAGTTCCTGCCTGTTCTTTGGGAGAGTCATCCTGTCACACAAAACATACCGGGAAGGAGAGAGAAATCCTGAGCTTGACTTCGAGGGTGACCATACCGTCCGGACCCACCCTAACGGGTAACCTGAAAGACTTACAACAGTCTGGCTCATGACGTTTGCATACCTCATTAACAAATACCTAGCTAATTGAAATAATTACATATTATGTATGGTATTCCGTACCCCTAACGGCGTTGAAAGGTGGCCCCTGTTGTTCATTACCCGTACACAGATTATCCTGGTATCCTTCAAGTTACAGCCCACCTTAAACTTCAATTTGGACGTCAAATCCTTCCCATCAATACACTCACACCATTTTCATCAGTCTCATCTCTCATGCCAACTCCCGCATCTCACCATCTCCCCTTGCGGTATCCAACTCGGCAGCTTGCCCATACTGATGATATGCATAACCTTGATTAGGCTGTTGTTGCTGTTGCTGTTGCTGTTGCGGCTGTGGCTGATAATATTGCTGCTGCTGCTGTGGTTGACCTTGCATCCCCTGAACGCCCAAGCCCATCTGTGGCTGCGGCGACTGACTCCCATTACTAGGAGTAGGCACCGCAAACTGGGAGGTCGTCATGGCAGACATGCTCATGGGCGAGACAGCCCCTTGCATCGGGGGCGGAGAAGACGAATACGGCGGGACGGGACTCATAGGCGGGGACGCCCCATATGTAGACTGGAAATACCCGCCTTTGATGTCGCCTGCGTTGGCTGCTATTCCCGAGACTGGTGAGGAAGGTGAGGATGGTCCAGGTCCGGGTCCGGGCGTGGGTGTTTGAGCCACTTGGGAGACTACCGGTTGGGGCTGGATCTGCTGGGCTTGGACGTTGGGGTCTTGCCGACGTCTCCTGAAGACTAGGAAGAAGATTCCGAATCCGATGAGGGCGATCAACGCGACACCACCTACTGCGCCGCCGACGATGGGGCCGATGGGGACAGAACTTGCCTCGGCTGCTGGGGTCGCGGGGGTGGTTGAGGATGTGGAGGACGAAGAGGAGGTGGATGACGTGGTGGGTTCGGGCGTTGGCGTGATGGTGATTGTGACCGAGTCTGGTACTACGAGACTCGCGACTGATTCGGTGAAGACAAGATCGGTGGTCTCGTAGAACGCCGTGCCAAAGTCGTCAGCTGTCCGACCACAGGCGATCCAGCTGTATCCGCTGTAGCTCCCGGGTCCGTATCGAAGAGTCACGCATGCCGGGAATTCTGAGTCGTCGCTGTAAATCATGATCACGACTCGTCAGTTGGTAGGTCTGTCTCGAACGTAGTAGTCGGAGGCGATGAGGAGAGCTTACCAAAGCCAAGTGTTCCCGCCCGTCCAAAGATTAGACTGGGTTCGGTCCAAACAGGTCACTGCTGCTGTGCAGTCTTGCACGTCGGCACTTCTGCAGCAGTCGATCAAGGAGATGGCTGGATCATTGAAGCAGTAGTATCCACTTCCGCACTCCAGGGGCAAAGCTATTTGTTAAGTCCAGCGGTTAGCATTCGGGCCTGTGATTCATGGGAAGACAACTAACCTTTGTTCCCATTTCTAAAGCCGCATGTCTCTGATGCACGTTTCAACAAATGGTTATTATCTCTTCTTGGTTCTCTCACGGCGACCGGTGGGTTGGTGGGTTCAGGGGCCGGCGATCGACCTTCGAGGTAGTTCTTGGCAGCATTTGTTTGTCGCGGAAGCACTGGTGCGTTCTCATCGTGTGACCAGGCGAAAAGCCATGCTGACGATGCTCCCACCAAGAGCTGTGAAGCAAGCAACTGCAAATATGTCTGAGACTTCATCTCCAATGGGTCCAAGTTTGGACGAGGCACAAGCTGGTGTTGGATCAATGGTCGGGTAGTATTGTTCAATGGCAGGTTAAAACAACAGAGCAGAGTTGAAGCAGGCTCTCGCAGTCAAGGTCAGTTCGGTTCCCGGGGCATGCAGGGTTTTAAGTCAGTTGATTGAGCAGATCGACAATCAACCCATCCATCCTCGGAAACCATCAATGTGATGGCTGGCCAGAGCCGGGGATGGCTCGTGTTTGGGACTGCACATTTAAAGCCCATGCCGCCACCATACGGTGACAGCAGAGCTCAATGCGTCTCTAGCTCTGTTCATGGTCCCTTCTGATAACTTGGTGACAGTCTCCGAGCCTGATGGCCCGAAAGGGGAATACGGTGATGCCCCCTGCTCGATGCTGATTCGAAGATGCCGACCCAGCGCTGCAAGTCAAGGGTCGAGCTGAACTTGGGCGTGCCAATATTTGGCGCCACAGCTGCAAATCTTATGCAGAAGACCGCCCAGAAGGACGACTTCTTTTCATGATTCTGGTTCGAGAGCCTCATTGTTCCACACCACACGACCGCTCCGTGGGGGTGAACTTCCGACCCGGCACTTGGATATTCGTCGTGCTCGTTTGGAGTTCGAAAACATTCTACTCCATGAGGAAAATGGTAGTCGATCGAATCAAAACCTTCCTTCTTTGCTTGAGTCTTGACCAATTGACCAATTCATCCTTCCTTCTCTCATAATTCGTGTCTAGCGCCACTGTTGTTTTAACCTTTCTTTTCCAGCCACTACAAAACGCAAAAATTCCTTGCGATAAAATGCTCATGAAAAATACCGTTGCTTGTGCTCACTGCTAGCTGTAGGCAACTTTTCCCATTGTAATATATACTCGCTTTCAAGAGGAGAAAAAGTCAAAAAAGATGAACAAGATAGAGAGAGAGAGTCCTTCATAGACTTGGGCGAACCCGGAATCGAACCGGGGTTTGTTCGGATATCAACTGGACGCCCTCGGGAGAAGAAACCACAACGAACCGTCCTAACCACTAGACTATTCACCCGGTTTATGCTTATTGTAGCTGGGTGTGTGTCGGGGCTTAATAGTGGATGCAACGGGAGGCAGAAGCTTAAAAAATATGAACCCAAAAACAAGCAGAAAGAACTGCAAGAACTGCTGCGTTCTCTGTCTTGTGCTTGGAAAGTAAGCAAGTAAAAATATAAAAAGGAAATGGGCGCACCCGGAATCGAACCGGGGTTTGTTCGGTAATTGTGCTTTTGAGACCACAACGAACCGTCCTGACCACTAGACTATGCACCCCTTTTTGGCGTGTTGATTATGTAAGAACGCTAACAATAGCACTTTATAAAGACTTTGCATATGGGATTATTTACAGTTTAGGTCCTCAGCTCCACGTTCAAGAGTTGGATCAATCAACACATGGATCTTCGTCGTTGTTCAGACAACAAGCTGACAGCCGAACGGGGAAGGAACAATGTTATTCAAATGCTATTAAATGGTGAGAGCTCTCTCTCGCAATGACTCTGGGAAAATCCGCATTCTGAAGCTGAGGAATGAGCCTCCCATGAGTAGCGATCATTGTTCAGGCGCAAGGAAGCACGGGTCAGGAGCATCTTGTTCATCTACAAACCTTGTTGAACAAGGTTTGGAGGAAACAAGCATTCAATCTCAAGAGCTATCCTCCCCATGACATCCTCTTTCGTCTTATGTCAGTCCGAGGCTCGTGACGTACCAACCGAATGACTAGCCTTCATCGCCAAATGTTTCAAAAGTTTGTACATATAATTAATTAACTTTGGAATTTATAGATTAGCTTTAGTAAAGGTTATTATAGGGGTATCATACTTTCAGGAGATGTGAACCTTAGGACTCGCCATCTTATAAATCTCAAAGGTTCAATTCCAATGACCTCCTTCTCCTTTACCCAGCTGTCAAGCAAACGGAAATCAGATCGAATATGACCACACCCCACGTCAAACTCTTACAATTTTCAGACCGCAGTCCTCTGCATGTGCCCAGTCCGCTGGGTACAAAAGGAAAAAGACCTTAGCAGGCTAGTCGTGTCTCTAGTTCTTCCAGCGAGCAAAAGAACACGACCTCACAGGACCAACAATCCCACCACAGCTCTCCCTTTCAACACTCCCCTACCATAACTCTGAGACAACGAGGACGATGAATGGAAATACAGAATCGACGTCATTCGGCGTTCGCGGCGAAGAGGGGAACGTGTCGACGGCATCCCCAGTCTTGTCAGACGCGGTACCCGACAGCAGGCCAAGAACTACGGCCAATCCATCTCCCACAGGACCGCCAAACGCCCTATTCCCAGACGTCGCCCAAGCATCCACAACAGACACGCCATCACAGCAACCGGTGGCGATTCCATCGTTTCTACACCCATATGCACCCACTGCTTCACCAGTTACGTCCACCTCTCTTCACCGCTTGGACACGGAGCATCCTATCCAAGCTCAAGCAAGGGATGTCCCTAAGCCCAACAACAACAACTGCATCGAGGAGAACCCAGTCCCATGCCTCCGGTGCGTCTCCTACATGCTGTCTTATCCCGCCAAGGCGCAGAACGAAGTAGACAAACTCCTCGGGCAGGGGATTGTCTGTGCTCGGTTCAAGAACGAGAAGAAGACAGGCGCGGGGAGCTCGCCCAACTGCCTGCGTTGTCGAACTCGAGATGCTTCTCGGCATTGCCTACCCATCCCGCCCCAACTCCGGGGTCTCGTGCTGGAGATGGTCCAAGAGCACAAAGCATATGTCAAGTGGCGATATCCCGAGAACTCGGAACCGGGTCTCGATCGGGTGGCTAGGAAGCTGCACCTCCTCTCCAACCCTGTTTTGTACGACAGCTTGGCAGCCATTGGTTACTTCGACGACATTGCCACTGCCAGCTTACCATTAATCCGGACGTTTAGCTTCGAGGAAGGTGCACAGATAAGAAGTGAAATTACGGCCAGAGTGAGCAGCTCACGCATTCGTCGACAAGGTGCGAGTTACGGTGCCGCCAATTCCGGAATCAGCGCCAGAGGTGGTAACAGTGGCCAAGTGCAGAGAAATCCCACTGCTCCTGTATAACGAGCACCGGCTGGCTACCTTCAACTTCCACCTGGATTTTTATCCACCCCGCCGAACCCACCTCAGAGGGGACTGGAAGCCTTCTCTACACATGCCACTGGCAATCAGCCAGGCATGGCCGCACCGCGCAGCTTTCTTATCGCGAACTCGGCATTGACAACACGGGCGCCTCGGGCAGAACATGAAAGGTTATCAGAGGGACAGCAACCACCAATGACCGTCGTAAACCCCAATACATCCAGAAGAAATCCCAACCTCACTTCCAGCGGACCGGGGACAACTGGCGGTTCGACGAGTGGGGATTATTTTGGAGGAACGCAGCGAAGTATCGGTATCCTGCCAGTGAACTTGCATATACGAAACACCATGCCCTCTCAGAGTCCGGAGATGAGCAGTAAGAACAGGAAACGACTCGAGGAAGAGTCAAAGAGCCCGGACATGGACAGGCACAAAAAGAGAAAACTCGGCGAAGGGCCAACAAGTAAAAAAGTGGTCGAAAACGAGGACACAGGGCAGTAACCTCCTTGAAGTCGTCTTGATGTTCTTGCACAATCACAGTCATTTTGGGGGCAAAGAAGTCTGCAGTGGCGGTAGCCGGTTATTAATATCACTAGTATGACAGGCGTGGTATTGCTGGAGTAGCATTATAACGTGAAGGCACACGGTGCCTTACTCTCTATAGTATAGTCTAGCCTAACAACCGACGTCTTTACGAACCTGCCAATAAAATTTCATTCTATAACATGGGAATAGTGTCAAAGCAAGAACACGTTCTACAGCATTCACGGGTGGGTGGTTCAATGACTGTGAATGAATATGAACTTTGATATTTGGGGTGCTTGCCTGGAACTTGCTGTAGTTTCCTTTCTTTGGCCGAATAACAGATACCATCAGGAGATCTATATGGATTTTCTTCCATCTTTGTCACCACTGTGTTGTCAATGCCTTGATTGATGTGTATATGAATCCATCCTGCCGCTTCAAGTCCTTGATAGAAATCCATTCCACAGCTACAGATGATGAATCAACAATGTGCCATGACATTACCATCACATGAACAATCTTATCTCCCACTACATACGGATAGCTACACTAACTAACTCTTGTAGGCGTATATTGACTGCAGAAACGAGTTAGTATCACAGACCAAGGAGCACAAGTGCAGAGACATATTGTCTGTATCACCGCTACAGAGGCAAGACTTGCTTCTCTCCGTTACACTGTTAATAAGCAGGCATCACCTGACTAGCCGGGAATTACATATTCTGGGCCAATCTTTACGAAAGTTCGTATTGCTGAGTTGACGTGATGTGATTGACGATAAAGACATGCCAGGTTCGCGGACCAAGGGGGTCGTACTAAGAGCCGAGACAATAACTATTCAGGCCCCGATCGCCACTTCCCACTTCAGCCATAGTCATAGCAAAAACATGGTCCAGAATTTGTATATATAATATCTCTTGTGGCTCGACCTTGTCTCGGTCACAGCTCCTCATCTCCTGACATCGATTATCCTCGACTCACAACAAGTCCAAACCCTCGATACCAGGGAACCCACGCCAGCCTTCCTCTTCCCCAATATCCACTCAAATCTGACAATGCATTCAACCCTCCTCCCAACCCTAGGCCTCAGCCTCCTAGCCCTATCAACCGTCTCAACATCTTGCGTCCCCGTCCCCTCCGCCTCCCGCGGTTTCCGTCTAGCAGTAAACGTAACGGACCCCACAAAAGACACGAATCAACCCCCTCTACAAGGCCAATACCTCCATCTCTTACACATAGGCGCAGGTTCAGAGCGCGCCTGCGTCGGACCCTCCCCAGGCCCAATATTCTACCAAAACGGCACCTGCGACGATTTCGCTACGGAAACAATAGACATCATCACCGACATTCACAGTCGCCCATGGACTCCAGAACGTCTGTCCCTCGCGGGTTGGGACGATGAGCTGGGACTAGGAATCTACGGATTCTTCTGGGCTGGATCAGGCGGGATTCGTCTGACGCGATTATGGGATCCTTGTTCGTACTCGACGGTACAAGAGGGCGCACCGACTGAGTCGACGCTGGTGGTTTGTAGGAATCGGACGATTCCGTATTATGGGCCTGATATCATGTGGGATATTGTCAATTGGGTGCAGGCATCATCGGGGACGCACTTGGTTATTCCTGAGGGGTGTGTGGCTGTTCGGTTTGTTCCTGAGTGTGCTGTGTTGAATGACGACTTGCCGCCGGATGCGTATAGTAGCCATGAGTTTGCGCAGGAGGTGAGGTGTTATGAGGATGTGAAGAGTGTTGTTTGGTAAGAGCTTTGGAGTAGGAATGATTTGATCAAGGTTCGGGGGCTGGACTGAGGTGGTGGTGGTTATGATGGATTCTTTGGGATTTGACAGATGATAATGGGATGAGATGTGAGAGCCTGTATATGGACGTCTTGATGACAATATTTTCGTAGTCATAATCTTAATATTTATGTATTCATAAGTCCAGGATCGAGCCTACAAGACCTCAAGGAGCAGGGGCCGGTATTTGAGGATAGTTCGAGAAGGATCAAGTAAATATTCTCCTTGAAAAGTTATTGCTTCGGTGATCGATGATCTAACATGGAGCATCCTTCAACCAAAGCAGCGGTGGACCTGGAGACATCTTCTCCATTGAGACGATGACTCCCAGATCCTTGACCCAACGTCACGGTATATTCAAGCCTGTCTCCTAGCTTTCGTCTCTTCGAATTACCACGAGTTATCAATGTCGGCTTTGCGTAACATCCAACCGCACGCGGGAATGAGGCTCGCAGCCATGTGTACAATCCGCTTATCCCGGAAGTTCACAATGCAATTTCGGGATCGGGATGAACAGAGTTTTGTCAGCCAGAAGTCCAGTTCCACGTGGGTAGAAATGTCCCGATGTTTTTGTCTAGAACGATGAAATCACGTCCATCGCCTTACCTTTCAGCTT